CTTATTGTTGACTCTTCTATCTCTTAACTAGACTCAGCTTCCCTTGAAGTAGGGGCTCTGGGCATTACTGATTTCTCACTTCCCGGCACATGATAAAAATTTGTTAAAGAAGTCAGTGGCTGAGCACAGGAAAGGAGAAAGCACTGACTTTGACGCTTGGTACTCTGAGCTAGCTCCTGACTTGGCCATTTACCTGCTGTGTGATAGGGAATAAGGACATGAGGCTTTACAAAATAGGGATCTATTCTGGCAGGTGGTGAGGACTGGAAGAAGGAATATGCAGAAGGCCTATACCAGTACCTGGCATGTAGTTGTAAAATTTTTTAAAAAAGCATATTTCCTTTTTTATTCTAGTTCTCTAAGGGGCCTTTTACATCTGTACAGGAAAGCTAAGTTAGAAGATATCTCTGAACTTCATGGGTCAGCTCATGTTTTGAAATTAAAGACACAGCCCCAGCCTGAGCCCTTTGGAAGGAGACCACATCAGCTTTACCATGGTAAAGAAGAGAGGAAGGTTGAAAAAGTTCTGGATGTGGGTGGTGGTGATGGTGGCACAACAGTGTGAGTGTACTTAATGCCACTGAATTGTATGCTTAAGAAATGCTTAAAATGGAAGTTTATGTTATACCTATTCTACCACAGTAAATTCATTAAAAAGATCCCAAACCATTGCCACGATTTACAGTTCTTCCAGCAGGGCAGCCATTCTCCAAATTAAACCAGTCACAGACCATCGTCATTTCATCCGTCTGGATACAGGCCACCAAGCAGACACGGCCTGGCTGAGCCTTTAGGTTGCCTGGTGTGGAGTGCAGGCTGTGAGGCACTCAGCTGGTTACTCCCCTCCACCCCTTCCTCCTTCCCTCCCTCCCTCAAAGAGCAAGTCTTGGTACTCATCCACAGAATCATGTCTGGATCCATCCCTGTCTATCCATTCTGTTTCTAGTGTTTGCATCGGGGTGAGTCCCTGTCATCTGTCACCTAGACTGCAGTGGCTCCCTGCCCTGCTTCTGTTCCTTTCTCTTCGGGACACCCAAAGTACTCTTTTTGATACATAGATCAAAGCATACCATTAAAATGAATGAAATTTAAACGAATGAAAATTACAGTGTTCCCCTGTTAAAGACCCTCTCGTGATTCCCACGGATTTTGAAATGAAGCCCTAACCCTTGGGTACAGCCTTTTCAGATCTGCTCCCTGCCCCCCTCCCCTGCTTCAGCTTGTCCCAGTCATGCTGGCTTCTTCCTTTCCTCCAGCCTCCGCATGCCTTCCCGTCCTGGGGCTTTTCCCGTGTGTCCTGCTGCCTGCAACACTCTTTCTTGGTCTTGGCATTGCTTGCCCTTTCTGACCATACAGATCTCCACCTGGATGCCACCTGGCCAGAGAGGACTTCCCCGAGCAGCTGTGTGGCCTGCCCCTTGGTCCTTCACCTTATGTGAGCTCTCTAACCCTGGCATTATCTTCTTTATGGAGGTGCTTGTTTGTCGTTACCTCTTCTACCTAAGAGGTGGGTGCCGCGTGCGGTGGGGCCCTCGTTATGTCCTTCCACCTAAGATGTGAGTGCTGCACGTGGTGGGGCCCTCGTTATGTCCTTCCACCTAGGAGGTGGGTGCCGCGTGCAGCGGGGCCCTTGTATGTTACTCTCGCCCGTGTCCGCAGGGCTGGACCAGCGCCAGGCACGCAGAAGGCTCTGACAAAATATCTGTTGTTTGAATGAATGAATGAATATCAACACAGATGAATTGTAGCAAAGGAGTAAGACGTGAATACCTGTGAGGAAGTTCCCTTTTCTTCCCCTTATATTTTTCTTGGTGCATTTTCTGTTGCTGATCCCCGTCATTGACCTTCTCCATTCTGTTTGGTTCCAAGTGACCATCAACTCATCGTAAACCTACCTATCTACGATGCTTAAAGACACCCACCTGTAGCCCCAAATTCCATCCATGACCAGCCACACATGCACAAGAAGAACTGTTCTGAAGCACCACATGTCACTATCCCTGACTTCTATACATTTAGGAGATACCACGGCGACAGGTGAAGCTGGGCCTGCACTAGTGTGTGCTGGTACTTCTTAGTGAGACGCCAGTCAGGGCAGGCAGGATAGGACGATGCCTACCCCGCCTGGTGGCAAGACCCGCTCCCTGCACTGCCCGCCGGTTCTCACATGCAGCTGCAAGGCTCTCTGAGGCCTCTGTAGAACCATTGGTCTTCCTGCTCCCCTGCCTGTTTCCGGAGTTCTGTTCCTGTCCCTCAGCTTTCCAGCTGTATTACCCTCTACCCTACTGTTCAGGCCCTTGCTGTGCCCTGGATTAAGTGATCTTTCTTTCTGGGCTGCATAGTGAGATCTATTATGTCCTTTTGATGAGCCTTCCTTCTCCTACTATTGGGCTTACATTAAAACAACTCTTAAAAATTGGAGGGAAGGAGATTACTATTTATTGAGTACTCATGGTATGCTAAGCTCTGTATTTATATTCTATCACCTAATTCTCAAAACCCTCCATGAATATGCGATCTCCGTTTTCCCATGGAGAAGCTGCAGCCCAGAGAAGTTACATAACTTCCCAGAGCCTGACTTGATTCTAAGACTCAGGGCGATAGATGGCTGTGGGGCAGCTGTGCCCAGGGAACAGGGGGGCTTGCCCGGGGCAGGGCAGCCATGGTGGGAGAAGCAGAAATCAGGGGAGGTGGGAAGGCACTGGTGCTGAAAATGAACAGTCATTTTCTATGTGTAATAATGAGACGCAGTGAGAAACTGTGCTTTTAGTGGGAAGAGTAAGCAGTTCACGGTTTTTGGGACCCAGATTGACTCCCAGATTTGACCTCTACCAGCTGTGAGCTCTGCAAGTTACTTAGCCTCTCAGCTTTAGTTCCTGGAACAATGAGTGGAGATGCAAGTTCCTGCCTCACCGGCAGTGGCTTGTGCATGTGGACACCAAACATAGCGGTTGCCACCTTCTAGATCCTTAATAATCATTTCTGTGAATATTATCAGATTTTTCATTACTCCCTCAAAGCCTTTTGACTATCCCACCACCGTACTGTGGTTCTCTTTGATCCCATCTGTGTCTGTTTTGTGCTGTGATTCCTGCAGCAGTCTGATACTTTTCTTTCTGTAGCTGATGTAATGGAAAAGGCTGAATAGGTTTTGGATGAGTGAAGGAAACTGAAATCTTTGTTCTAGTCTATATATACGTGTATCTCCCACATTACAGATCCTGGAGAACTTGGACTTGCTATCTGTCATATGAATATTCACTTATGTGGCTGAGGAACATTGCCTTGGTTTTGGTTGAGTGGAGGATCGCTTGTTTGTTTGTTTGTTTTAAATCTATGTGAAATACGATTGTAGGCAGAATTTAGCATCTCCTCAGGTCAATGTAATATCATCCGAAGCAAATCAGCCAATCCCTCAGGTATATCTCACTTTAGAGCTCTTTTCAGAAGACTTCTATGTATCTTGATTTCAGTTTTCCTTGATTCATGTAATGACTTCAGGTAAGTGACACACTGAACTTTGTTGCTCTCTTGTCTCCTACTCTGTCCATGACCTGTAAAGAGATGCTTGAGTTCACAAAAGAAGCTTGCCATTGAAAGGTACCCAGAGGCATCCTACTTTAATGTCAGCAAGCATGCGCTAGACAGCCGGTGAGGTGAGGCATGCTGGGAGTTCCAGGGTCAGGGGTGGAGCTGGAAGCTAGGGACGGTCAGGGCCTGGGCAGTCGGACCCCACTCTAAAGCAAATTTCTGTGTCTGTTGCTCATTGTCTGTAGGGACAGAATTAATTCGGGATTTACTCCGGCAGATTGCTAACCCGGGAGGCCAGTCTGTTGGGTGGGACACAGTGACCACCTTCTAGGTGTTAGGAGTAGTGATTATGCCTGGTGGACAGCAGCCTCACGGTTCCAGCCACCCGGCCTTTTTACTCACAACCACACCCAAAGGTGAGAGGACGACACTGGTTAAGTGGTCAGAGGTATAGGGGGAACAAATGTGCTAATTAGAGAAACCAAGGCAATGCCATTCATATGGACTAAGCCAGTTTGGGGGTGTCAGGGGAAGCTGTGTGTGAGAGGGTGCACCACTGCCCAGATCTTACTGGTGGGAGGTGCTTGGTGTGACAGGCCCGGGCACAAGGGCAAGCTTACCAGCAAGTGCATGGAGCTGCTCTCCTCCCTTCCTTCCCAGGGCAGACCAAGCTGTGGATAGGGCTGCTCTTTGGTAAAAAGCTCCAGGGATGGGGAGACCTGGGTGGCTCAGTCAGGTAAGCATCTGACTTCGGCTCAGGTCATGATCTTGCAATTTGGGAGTTGGATCCCTGCGTCAGGTTCTGTGCTGACAGCTCAGACCCTGGAGTCTGCTTTGGATTTTGGGTCTCCCTCTCTCTCTGCCCCTCTTCTGCTCCCACTTTCTGTCTCTCAAAAATAAATAAACATTAAAAATTAAAAAAGCTTCAGGGATTGCAGCCGGGAGGAGCATGGAGGACAGCTGACCCTCCCCCACCCTGCTCTTACCTTTGGCCAGCATGGTTTTGTATTTGTAAAACATAGTGTCGTTTATTTTTGAGTAAGTAAACATCTAAGACAACTAGTGTGGTAAAAGGACTCACCTATTGGCAAAGTGGCAAAATCTACCCTATGGTTTTGTTTTGTTTTTTCTAGAGAAATAGCATAGACTTACTGAAATACTTTTGCTATCCTAGAGCAGTGATTCTGCATCAGAACCTCCTGGAGGGCTTGTCAAATCTAATTGCTGGTCCCCGGTCCCCAAGGTGTCTGAATGCGTCTGCCTGAGGTAGGGCCTGAGAATTTGCGTGTCCAGCAAGTTCTCAGGTAACGCTGCTGTGGCTGCTCCAGGGGCCATACTTTGAGAACCATAGTTACACAGTGATTGATTTATTCACCATGCTCTGAAGGAAAATTACATGTTTTTGGTCAAGTCCGCCATTGCTGCACATTTCTTTTACTGATAGACTTGTCTTTGTCTTCTTTGAACAGGTATTTTGACGTTGGACTGCATGATTTCTTAATCAGGTAAGCCCATCATTTTAATTCTAGATATCATTGAGTAGCATTTTTATTACAGAAGACTGAGATGAAAATAAAATCCTTTCTAAATATCTTGTTAAATAATGACAATTTTATACGTGTAAACACACACACACACTACTAACATTATGGTGTGTTAGGCCTCCAGGAATTGCACGCAAAATTATCCTTTTTTAAAAAAACAAATCAGAGGAACTTCTGTTTAAAGTGGTTTATCGCTGACATGGTAGTTTCCGGAAAGCATGGGAAAACTTGTTCCAAGTGCTGGGCTGCTGGGAAGACAAATAGAAAAGTGAAGAGACTCAGCTTGTATTCATACCTTAAACAACCCACTTAACCAATTATTTCTCCATTGAATTTAAGCTTTTAAAGTTGAATCCACTGGTTGTTTTATAGTCATGCAGATACAATGTTGTTCATAATTGGAAGAGATTACAGATGGCAGTTTATATCCTAGTGTATTGGTGATTTTTACCAGAGTTGGCTTATGGGGCATATTAATTCCAAAAAGCTATTAAATCAAACAGAGGTTAAATGGAAATATACCAGAATATTAACAGGGCTGGTAAAAATTTGCATGATATTTTTCTGCTATCAACTTTGCTGTATTTTCTAGATTTTTTGTATTGGGCATGTATTCTAATAATGGTGAAAAATGATTGTAAAAAAAGCTTGTCAGAAAGGCATGTGAGAAGCAGTAATGGTTTCTGAAGGACTGTAGGTTCGTGGTTACAAGAAACTAGAAATTACAAAGGGTGATTTACTTTCTGCAAATAGGAGACTGTAAATGCTAATTCTAAGAGTGTGCTAATACATAGATGCAAATCACATGTGATTTCTGAGTAGGTGTTGCAGTGGTTTAGCTCTCCACGATGCAGGGCCGTCTTTCTGTGGGTAAGATGCTGTCTGAAGGGAATGTGCATCATTGGCATCACTCTGATCCTAAACCCACAACATTTCCTTTGTGCTGCATCACATCCAGTGGTGTTCCAAGAAAGGCCACCCATACCTTGTCATTTCTCCATGGCTGCATCCAAAGCATTCTCCAGGATATCACACATAAATGGTAGTGTGTTAACTACTACCCTTGACCCCTTAAGGTAAACACATTGTAGCAGGAGGGATGAAAGATCGGCTTTCACCGAAAAGGCGGGCTTGAGGATTCTGTATGTAAACTGATGAAAACAGTCTGGGTGCGCTTCAGAGAGTGGTTTGGATTTTTGAGTTGAGGTCTTTGGTACTTTGTCCTGCTACCATGCCACTGTTCACGTAATTCCTCGTGGTGCATGCGAGTTTGTACTTTCTTATTTTCTCTAGTAACTTCCTTGAGGGCAGGGAACATGTCTTAGTCACCTATGATACCTATGATTAGATTGTATAGAGTCAACCTTCAAGAAACATTTGTGGTTCGAGTGAATGGAAGAAATGAAGCAGAAAGAACAAGGAGGGCAAAGATTAAGAAGCAGCTATTTAGACATGTATTCAACAAAGGATTATTAAGCCTGTCGTGTGCCACTGACTTGGGTATGCCTGGGAAAACTGCTATGAGAAAAGCAGGCTTTTGGTTTAAAGCTTTCCCTGAGATTATCACTTGCCAGACTCTCATGGTGTGAGGGGCCTTGAGGTGGGAGGAGGGGTGGTTTGCCTCTGGGACCCCTCCTGCCTTTCATTTTTCTGGGATCCAGCCACGTCCCTTATGTTGGGTGCGGAGGAGGGAAAAGGAGGCAGCTCAGTGTTTTTTTTTTTTTTTTTTTTTTTTTTTACATTTATTTATTTTTGAGAGACAGAGTAAGACAGAGTGTGAGCAGGGGAGGGGCAGAGAGAGATGGAGACACAGAATCTGAATCAGGCTCCAGGCTCTGAGCTGTCAGCACAGAGCCCGACGCGGGGCTTGAAGCCACAAACGCGTGAGATCATCACCTGAGCTGAAGTCTGGTGCTTAACCAACTGAGCCACCCAGGTGCCCCGGCAGCTCAGTGTTTCTAATGTAACTGGTGCTGGGATCGCCTTGTCCTGGTGGGAGGCCCTTCGGGTAGGTACTGGTGAGATGCTCTAGTTAGTCACCTTAGCGTTCTGTGAACCCAGCAGAAGTGGGGTAAGGCTTTTTGCTGGCCTGACTCTCCGCAGTTGTCTTTCCTTTGCTGTGGTAGGGGCAGAGCAAATCAACATGTCTGTTGTGTATCCACTTGGGGAATGAGGAGTCAGTCCCCACTTCTTGCAGGCAGTTCCAGTCTCTGAGGTGAGGTCTCTTCATCCCCCCGCCGCCGGGTGTGATACACTCTGCGCTAAGCCAAGAACTTGAAGACTCTAAGTTCTTTCCTCTATGCTCCTCTCAGTTTAGGAGTTGGAGGGTGAAGATGTTGGGGGGAGGTAGCTGCTTGGAGCAGTCAGCTCTCCATCTCTTAGAAATCTCAGGATGGGGTGGGGGTATCACCCTTTTATTTGCAGTTTCCTTTAGAAAATGTGTCCTTTCTGCTCCTGGCTTGGGAGGTTAAGACTGAAGGAGACTGAGCACTGTTACTCATAGGCACCTTAGTGAAAACTGTTTCACAGGCATGATGGCCTTGAAGTCAGGTTGAAGTGGGGGGCATGGTGCTGTGTTAGGGGCAGGTGATGGAGTAGCAGCAACAACTTTTTCAAGGAGTTAAGCTGTGGGGGCACCTGGGTGGCTCAGTTATTTGAGCATCCCACTCTTGGTTTCTGCTTAGGTCATGACTCAAGGGTCATGGGATCCAGCCCCACGCTGGGCTCTGTGCTGAGCATGGAGCCTGCTTGAGATTTTCTCTCTCAGTCTCTCCCTCCCCCCAGCCCTTCCCTCTCTTCTGCTTATGCTCCTTCTCTCTTTGTCTCTGTCTCTCTCTCAAAAGAAAAAAAAAATGTTAAGCTGTGAAGGGGAAGGAAGAAGGGCCAGGCAGCTGGTGGAGAGGGTGGTTTGAGTGGAGAATTTTTCTTTTTAATTGGAGGAGCTCTTATATTTAGCCACCAGAAGGTGTTAAGTGCCCTTTAGACTTAGAGAAAGTGGATTTGGTTGGGTGGTCAGAAGCAGAGTGTGATTGCCCTGAGAGCTGGGAAGCAAAGGCAGGGAGTGGTATCTTTGTGGCCCAGAGAGCAATGGCATTTTCCTGTGACTCTTTAACTGCAGACGACTGTAGTTTTGGAAGGGTGAGGCAGTGCTGCTTGAGTCCTTCTCACCCTGTGTTGGCCAAAAGAAGAAAACCTATTCCCTTTGTAAAAGAGGAGGTGTTGGAGAAATTGGGATCAATTTTTTTTTTTTAATTAACTACATTTATTGGCTACAACAAGCTCTTTAACATGTACCCAGGGTCATCAGGCTGTATTGAATACTTCGTGTTCGGCATAAGAGAAACTGCAGCCTGCCTGAAATTAATCAGCTGCATCTTTTATGTTGATGGAAGGAAAGTCGACTTCTCTGGAATGGCATAAATTTCCACAAAGCCAAGAGCCCTATCTGTAATCCCATCCCAGGCAACTGTGAAGAGGGGCATGCTTCCCTTTAAGTTGTTGGAGTATTTCATTGAGCTGTAGGGCAGGAAGGAGCTGTCATGTTTGATGAAATGTGAGCATTTTTGGTATTGGTGCTTTATGACAACTGTGGGAAAATTGAGTGGCCTCTGTCCTTCTAAATCTCACAGAAATCAAAAGAACGACTTTCAGGAAACAGTAATCACAACTCACTAGCCTCAGAAGAAGGGTCTTGGTTGAGATTCTTAATGTAACTCTACGAAAGAGAAAGGGAGAAAAATGCCCAATCTGGGAAGAGAGATTATGGAAGAAAATAGCTGTTTCATTTTAGAGACTAGGGTAGTGTGTTTAAGTTTAGCTTAGTTTAGTTTTGGCAAGAACATAAAAATGATTACTGATGTTTGGTTGGCTTCTTGCTGACTGAGGCATTTCTCTTTCTCTCTCTCTTAAGTTTATTGATTGATTTTAAGGGGAGTGGGGGAGGCATGAGCGGGGGAGGGGCAGAGAGAGGGAGAGTCCCAAGCAGGCTCCACGTTAGCACAGGACCTGGATGCCTGGCTCACTCCATCTCAGAAGCCGTGAGATCATGACCTGAGCCCAAATCAGGAGTCAGCCATTTAACCGACTGAGCCACCCCGGCGTCCCCAGGCATTTGTTCATTTTACCCAGAGCTGTGGCTGGCTTCACCCTTCTCACACAGGCACACTGTAACTGCTTTGTACCTGCCCTCCTGCCCTTCTCTGAGTTCCTCACGTTGGGGACTAGGTTTACGTGATGCAGGATTGCATCCTGACACAAAAGAAAACCTGGAGCCATCCATCTTCTGTGATGTCTGAAAGATTAAATTTGTCTGTCTTCCTTTTACAGTTTTTGCATTACCATTATTCTTATACATTTAAAAATCAGAAAAATATTACCGGTACTTTCATCTTCTTTTCTATATTACTTACACTCAGCTATATAATCCATTTCAAGTAAGGATTTTTTTTTCTAAATAGCAAAATAAGTTTTCTTTACCATTATTTCCTATTTTTATTCTAAAGACCATGTGTGAATACGTCAGAGCCCTACTTTTGTCCTGCGGATAATGTCTTGATGTCCTGTCAGGACTATAGCAGAAACGCAGTGTGGGCTCCTGCCGCTGATACTTCTTAGGCGAATAGAAAATGTCACTAAAGGTATTTGAGAAGATCTCCAGAGTAGAAGAGAAATTCCTTTCTGTAAGTAAACAGATTCTGCTTATAGAATGGTGATCAGCGTAGTGTAGCAATGCTAATGTTTATGTAAAATATTTACATAAAACAGTTTGAAGCATTGTGTTCTGGTGAGAGAAAAGGTAGAATGGGAGAACTGTTCACTTCCTGTGGTGCCTTTTGTTCTTCTGGATGAGGATCCTGAGATTGCAGCTTGGTCTGGAGTCTTTGAATTGCCAGAGGGCAGTGAATTGTGGGAACATGCGAACTGATGGCTCACTGATTTCCGAAACGCACAAAGCTGCTTTT